AAACAATGATTCTGAAAACAGAACAAAGTGTGAGCGATTGACCTGAGAATAAAAAGACATTACATTTCTTTTTTTCTTTTTAGCAAGCCATTGGTATCTGAATGCTAAGATAGCAAGAAATCTAAAACTGTAACAGGTGGACTGCTTTCCCATACAGTGCATGCCGGGCTCCTCTGTGCTATCAATGTGGGGCGTTTCGTGAAAAGGGGAAAATATACAAGGGGTTTAAGCTCCAAAGACATTAGGAAGGCCCAGCGGACTTGTTTCCCAGACCAATAGTACCTTCAAAAGGACACAATGTAACAGGGTTAGGTTTTTTTTTGTTATCTTTTTTTTTTTTTTTAATTTAAAAAAAAAAATAAAATAAAATAAGAAGAATGTAAAATCACCGGCATAGATAGGTATATGGGAAAACAACCCACGCTTTTTCTTTTTTTTCCTTTTTTTTTTTTTTTTTTTTTTTGGTTAGAAGCTTTGGAATTGCAGTTAGTCTATTTTTGAAATTGGTTTGTTAATTTTTTTTATTATTTAAATTCATTTGTTTGTATTGTTCATCTTCAAAGCTTACAATCTGAAGGTGTCCGTTCCTACACTGGTCAGACCACTGTCCTTGGGGCAGCTGGGGTCTTTGGGACCCTCCACCGGGCTCGCCGGTCCGTCGGACTTTTGGCTGAGATCCGTGTCAGACTCCTCCGAATAGTCGTCTGTTGGCATCGAGGGCTGAACCCCTGAGGTGCTGCATGAACTTGAGGTAACCGTTGAAGATGAGGAGAGAGGAGGAAAAGAAGGGGCCTTCGCGGCGGCCGAAGCCCGGGAAACCACTGGCGGCCAAGACTTCCTGGAGGCGTGAGGGGAAGCGGAGGGAGGGGCGGCGGCCGACGGGGGAGGGGGGCTGTCGTTTGAGTGAGCGGCAGACTGCGAGGTAGATGCGGTGCTAGGATCGGGGAAGCAGGCAGAGTGAGGTAATAAACTAGGGTGCTCTTTGGCGTTTCTTGCTGCTCTCGTGATTGTTCTGTGTTTGTGCAAGGCCGACTCGAGATGTTGACTCAGAGCTTCCTCCCCACAGAGCGTGCTCTCGCACGCCAGGCAGTGGTACGAGCCGCTGCCATTCCCGCCGCTGCCGCCGCCATTGCCACCGCCGCCATTGCCGCCGCCGGTGGGGACATGGAGCACCATCTCTTGCAGGTTCACCACAGACTGGCCGAAGAAGCAGAGGGACTTCAGGTGGCTCCTCGCCGCCTCCTCGTCACTGAAGCCTGCCTGGCACTTGCGGCAGACCAACTTGTACTGCACCTTTGGAACAATGAAGGGGTCGTAGAGGGAGTCCGCACTTTTGCTTTCTGCTTCTGGCTCTTCGGGGGGTTTCGGCAGGAGAGGGGACACCTCACGGGGTGCGTTTTTCTGCTCTTCTGGTTTGGGGGATTCTTTGGCAGGGTCTTTGTCTGGGGAAGCAGCCCCCGGGGGGACTGGGGTTTGGCTTGCTTTGGGCTGCGGCACTTTTTGCTGCTGCTGCTGCTGCTGCAGTTGCCGCTGCTGCTGCTGCTGCTGTTGCTGCTGCTGCTGGATGGCCTCCTGCAGACTCTGCTGGTATTGCTGGTACTGCTGCAGTAGGGAGCCCGGGGACAGCCCCATCAGGGCCTGCGACAGCGCAGGGCTGTAGGGAAACAGGCCTTCCATGCCGTACATAGGCTGCAGGTACCCGCTCTGCAGGGCGCCGGGGATCTGGGGGGCATAGTAAGGAGAAAAGCCTGGGACAAAGTAAGGAAGGAACTGGCTCGTGAGCAACGCTGTAGGGTCCGAAGTCAACGCTGCCTGCAGGGCCTGCAACTGTGCAGGATCTACCGCATACTCCATGGTGGGCAGTGGGGCAGAAATCGTGGCAGCTGCCGCCACCGGAGCCTCTCCTTTTTCCTTCTTGGGAACAGGCAGGGGCTCCCCTTTTCCTTTGTGCACCTTTTCTTTTTCCTTTCCTTTCTCACTATCTTTGTCCTTTCGAGGCTGCTGTTGGGGCGGAAGCTGCGGTACTGGTGGCGGCTGGGCTGCTGTTGGCGGTGGCGGTTGGGGCTGCTGCGCCGGTGGCTGCTGGGGTTGGGAGGGTTGCTGAGGGGCTATCGCCATGGTGGTTTGTGCTGGGGTCGGGGAGCTCAGCGACGCCGAGGATGGTTTATTTGGTAATCCGGATGTGGGGAGGCCAGGGGAAGGAACTGTTGTGCTGGGCAGACCCATCAAATTCGGTTTGGGAGATGTTAAAGCTGAAAGGAATGGAGAGAGAAAGGGAAATCACATGTCAGTCGGGAATGGCTTGACTGAACTCTTCACCTGCGTCAGCGACACATTATCTGGATTTCTCAAAGTTTGAACTTGAAGGATCCACTCAAAACTCATGTTTCCAAGAGAAGTATCCTTCCAAAAGCAGTTGGCTGTTAAGAGTTGCCATGGAATCGGGCCTCAACTCATGACAATCCCATGCACAACAGGATTTGGCCATTGTAGGATAAACTTGTATCATCAGGACCTAATCCTGAGTCAGGTCCCATATTTCTTTTCAGCTAAACAACTTTCCGCTTCCTGCCTGATATGCTACACCCCCTAGTTCACAACGTTTCAGCCTTATGATCCCAGATACCACTCACTGTGCCCAATGCATTGAAGTCTGGAAACCACCTAAGCCAGCTGTTCTCAGCTGGGATCCATTTGAATGAAAGCTCTACAAAACTGTACATACAGCCCAGTTAGGCAACAGGAGAACAGAGTGAAAACAAGCACATTACCACAGCTGCAAGGACACATGAACCTACGGAACAGGCTTCACATGTGCTTGTGCTTGCCTCCTCTGATTCCTGGTGGTGTAGCTGAATAGAAGTGACAGAAGACGAATGGAAAAGTGTCGAGGAAGAGCACAGGAATAAACAAAATCAGTTTCTCCAGGTGAAAAACTGTTCCACTGCCTTGGCCCAGCTAATTTGCTCTAGCAAAATAATTATCTAGGAAAAGGATTCTGGAGTCCACTGGTGAACCAAGCATCTCCTCCAACCTCTTTCTGAATAATACACAGAGGGGTTCACAGAGCTGCAGATGCTTGGACTAGCCAGCCGTAGGAGAAAAGCAGTACCTGAATGGAAGAGCCTGAAGCACTGATAACGTATTACCTCCAGGGATCAAGGACCTTTGATCATGGCACCAGACCTGTGCGGCATACAGTTCCATCCTCAATCATACTCAGCCCTAAATTTACAATTATCCTAACGAGCCTTCACCCACCTGTGCTCACCCATAGCTGTCTCCTTGTTTGAACCTTTTGTTCCCAGATGACAGAAGAGGATGGTGCTCCTGATGTTACACCAAGCTGCAGGAGTCAGGATGAGCACAACTAACAGCTGCCAGAACACCTCTTAATTCACCACCTCCAGGAAATTAGAGAGTCCACATCTCTTCATTTCAGGACACTATGAACCAATTCAGGCTCATAGTAATCCTGTGGAGTACAGCTGTCCCATAGGTTTTCCTATGATAACAGGACATAGGCAGACTAGACCACTTTCTCCAGCAAAATGGCTGGTGTGTCCAGACCACTGACTTTTTGGTTAATAGTCATGCCCTACACCAGGGCTCCTTTTAGGAGCTCTCAAAATGTGAAATCACAAATTGTACAGCTTCTCATATTTCATCTGGACCCCCTTAGGCCACTAAGCTGGACTAGGGGTTCCAGATAGTCTTTACACTTTGAAGGCTAGATTGGAGTTGAGGATCCATTGCTATTTCAGTCTACAGTTGCCAGTCCTAGAAAAATATCCACTAGCTTTTGGGCGACCAAGGAGGGCAATTCTCTCTCAGTATTGCGCAGTACCATTAACAGACTTTCAAAAGAGCAGAAAAGGAGATTAAGTTGTCCAATTTCCTCAACACAAAAGTAAATAGTACCCAGAGGAGAAAATGTGACTGGATTTACTGGAACAAAAAAATTAGTAAAGTGTCAATGAAACTGTGCAAATGAGGTCAAGACAGAATGGTTTATGAATTCTAAACTTGGGGCAGGATTCTTTATGTCAACCATAAGGCAATGACCCTGTTCTAGGTTTTAGGTTTGTGGCCAGGGCAAGAAAGAAATGGCTAATGGCTAATACATCCTCAAATGAAGGTCTACTGGAAACATCACAACTTTAAGGAAAATTTATTAAACTCTGTACTAGCCATGTTAGACACAGTAGCACAATGCATTCTCACAACAATTCTATTATACCAGTTTTCTTACTTCAAACCCCAGAGTCAGACCAACCACATGTGGATAGTGGCTAACATATCTTGGCTATGTGGTACTGACCCATTAGTTAACTATTAGAACCTCAACTTTCCACGATAGTTGTAGGGATTAAATGGAGGCTTTATGAGAATTTAGCGTTCACATATAACAGAGACTTAATAAACATGTGTTTCTTCCCTCCCACTCCAGATCCAGTGCTCTTAAGAGCTGTGGTGCCGTCAAGTGATGGTAACGGGGGAGGTCTGGCTGTCCTGAGTCAAGAAAAGCAGATCTTTCTACCTTGAGTCCACTCTAAGTGGTCAAAACCTGAGTAGCACTAAACATATACCTGTTGACTGACTGGCTCATATTGGGTGTTGTGGAAGGAGCACATAGCACTGGGAGCCAGGAGGCTTGGGTGGGAGTTCTGGCTCCTACCCTAGCTTGCTGAATGGTCTTGACCTCTCTGGGCCTCAGTTTTCTCATCTGTAAAACAAGGGGAATAGATCAGACATTCTGATTCTAATCTGTTCACATTACTATGATATGCTGGGCCTTCCCAAGGTCCTAGGCTGCAGGGATAATTCAGTGTCTGGACAGTTTCCCAGTTTCCACAGCTGATTTCCTGGTTTATATCTACCTGGTTTTAGCATCATTCTGTAACATTTTCCGACACATACAAGCAATGATTTTCATGTATTAATGCTTTGTTTTCTTGTTCTTCTCTTTGGATAAGAAACTGGGACCAGGTGTGAGGTAGCCTTGTATTCTGTAAAACACAGCCAAAACTGTCAATCTGGAATCAGTTCAACCAGAACCTGCAACTACTCTAGACAACAGTATGCCACTTCGAGCACTGGGAACAGGGACATATTTTGAAGGTAGGAAGATGATCTGAGGGGCTCTCCTTTGGTAATGGCCACCAAATAAAGTCGCTGACTTGTGCCTAAGCCACACAGAATATTGGAGGCAGAGGTCCAATTTACAAAGATGGACCCAGAGAAGATGGGTGAGAACAGATGAAGGAACAAGAGAGGAAGTTAGAACTACAGAAATAATAAGAGTGTTAAATATTTAAGTATCTGAAGAAAAGAGGAAAGGCTAGGCAAAAGGAGATGAAGGAGTCACTAAGAACCCCTAAAATATATAGTATTTTACATGTCCAAACTCAGAATCACATTGCCCAACCCAAGATTCCTGATCAGTTCACTGAAATTGAAAGGCAATTTCATTAGAAGCTAATGTAGCCACTGTTGTTCCGGCTAAAAGAGAACTCCAGGAGTAAGAGCCCAGCATAAAATCGCTGTTTCCTGACACACAGTGTTGGGACCAAAGGTAAGGGGGTGAAGAATTGATTTCAATCATCTTGAAGGAGTTTACACAGACGGCCAGAATCAGCTAGGGCATTCAGGTGTCTTAGCTAAGATGGGATTAGCATTTCCACAAGGACTGAATGGGTCTGTGATGGATACTCTTTCTTGAAAATATCCCAGAAGTTAGTATGGCAGGATCTAAATAAAGTACATACCCTGGTTGTGCTACTGAACACAGGGCAAAAGAGTAGTTTCAGAAGGAATTATTTCATCCCTGATCTAGGAAGGCAAACAATCACATGCACACCAGCAGTAGGTCCACTAAATTCAGTGTTGGTAAACTAGCAAGGGAAGCATCCTACCAGTACTGGATGGGTTGGAGTGGTGGCCACATGACAAAACTCTTAACTGGGCAGTTCTTTTAAGTAAAAAGAATCGCCTAGAGCAGGACCTACCTGTGTTGGATGGAGTAAAGCCTGGCAAGGAGGGGCTGTTGAGGCCAGGGAGCAACACAGGAGGAATGCCCTGGAGTGCTGGATATGCTGTAGGAAGGTTAAGAGCCTGAAGAGGGGCGTTGTCAAACATCCCTTGCTGCTGGGCTGCCAGTCCAAGGACCTCATTGGCTTTTTTAATCCTGTCCAACTCTTGTTGAGCCATCAACTGACGTACAGTGGCTGGGTCAAAGTATTCTTTCTCCTTGTCCAATTGGCTTCCAATAGTGTCTTTAACTTTGGAGATATGCTGTTGGGAAAAGATATGGTCACGTACAGACAGTCGAGCGCTGTACTTGATGCCACACAAAGTGCACTCTGTTTTGGGTCCCTCATAACTTGTTTGGTTTATACCAAAATGCTTGGCCATGCTTAACTTGGACTTCTTTTCTTTTGCCCGGGCATTCTGGAACCAGACCTGAACAACTCTCTTTGGCAGTCCAATGTCATTGCCCAGGACCTCACACTCTAGCATGGTGGGTGTCCTGTAGTCATTAAAGCATGACTTGAGGACCTTTAGCTGCAGATTGGTCATTTGAGTGCGAAAACGTTTCTGCCCAGGCCTATCCCCGCTATCTCCAGATTTGCCTGTCGACCCACTGGCACCAGGACTTGGGGAGCAGGGATCTGCAAGGCTTGAGGTTTCACTATAGTCCACTGTGCCTTCATTGTCATATTCCTTGCTGTAAAAGCTCGGGGCTGGGCTGACCAGACCCGACGACAACCGATCTTCATACTCTGACATTGCCATCATGGCCGCTTTGGTCAACCCTTCATTGGGTGCTGAAGAAGATTTGGTTTCAGTCGCTATTCCTGTCGCACTGTCGTTATCTGCATTGCCCTCATCTCCAGTGGTGGTATCTGTGATGGCTGTGTTGACAGAGGAACAGTCATCATTGTCCAGCTTAGTTTGGTCAAAGTTTAGATTGACTGAGGACATGGAGGGGCTTTCAAAGTCTTCAATCCCTTCCACTTTGATGGAGGAAGGGCTAAGAAGAGTCCTGGGAGACAACTCCATGGTTTTACTCACAGGCGAGAGGGGAACACCCTGACCATCACTACTACTTGGGGGTAGGTGGGAAAAGCTAGTTCCATCAAAAATGTCTCCTTTCATCTGGAGTCCCCCATCACAGTCTAACAGCATTGCAGACAGAGTGAGGTTATAGCCAGCTCTCTTGGCTTCATGCCAGTGACGAGACCGTATGTGAGCCTCCAGGGCAGTCTTGGCCTTGAAGAGCGCTCTGCAAAAAGGGCACCTCCTGTGGGCCTGGGCTGGACCCACAGCCCGGAACTGCCCTTTCCTTTCCCGAGCTCTGGTATTCTGAAACCAAACTTGCACCACACGTTTCTTCAAGCCCACCTCATGTGCAATGTGATCCAACATCTTTCGAGTTGGATTGGAGTCTAGTAGATACTTTTGGTAAAGAATTTCTAACTGCTCTGGTGTAATGGTCGTCCTCAAACGCTTGTCTCTCTGAGGTTCTTCTCCTGTCCCACTGTCATTTTCACCAGGGCTTGCACTGGCCTTTTCCTCCAGCTTCCTCTTCAGAGTGTTCATTGTGGAGGTTGGAGTTGAAGGAGAAGTGGCTGCGCTTGCTGGAATCTGAGGTATGGCCCCAGAGAGCAGTTGGCTGGCCAGGAGTGGGTTACTAGGGTCAAACAGCATGAAAGGCATATCCAGTGACCTGTCCAAAAACTGGGGGTGGATGAACTGGTTCTGTGCGCTGAGAAAGTGAAGCTGCTGATGCTCCTGCCAGTGCTCAAACGATGGAAATGCCAACTTACACTGGTCACACTGGTAGGGGATTAGCTGAGGAGGTAGGTTTGCCAGTTGTTGAGGAGTTGATGTGTGCAGGGGCTTGAGGGGAAGATGAGAGAGCTGGGAAGGGCTGGGGCTTGACTGCGGTAAGGTGCACTGAGGAGGGGGCGCTTGTGGTGGAGGCTGTGGTAATGAAGGAGGAGAAGCCAGCTGTGGGAGCTTTGGTTGGGATGCATTTGTCTTCTGCTCAGGCTGGTCTTGCTGCTGCAACTCTAGCTTTGGTTGCCCTTGCTTCTCTTGAGTTTGGCTTGGCTGTGCACTGGGAGTTTCAGCCTGCTTTGGTTTCTCATCACTTGTTTCTGTTTTTGAACTGAAGTTGGCCAGTTCATCAGCCTCTGCTGTGAGCTGCATGAAGGCAGAGGAAGCTGTATTGGCTGATGGAGCTGGGGCACTGTAAGCCTGTGAGGGCATTGGAGTGCTGCAGGAAGAGCTGGTGGGAGTCAGCAGTTCCATGGCATCCATGGAATCCTCATTTTGACTGTCATCCTGCCCCTCCTCGTCTTCATCCTTGTAACACAGCTTCTTCTGGTGCTTGATGAGATCAAAGATGCGCTGAAACACCAGGCTACATTTTTTGCACTGGTAGTTTAAGTTGCTTGTTCGGATATATCTATCATTGGTGAGCTCCCGCCGCTCTCCATCTTTGCCCTCGCCCTGATTCTCATAGTTTTTCCGAGCCTTCTGCCGGGCATTCTGAAACCACACCACTATGACTCGGGTTGGAAGGTTCAGTAAATTCGAGAGTTGCTCAAATTCATCATCCTTTGGGTAAGCATTAGCATCAAAAAAGTCCTGCAGGACCCTCAGCTGGTAGTCAGTAAACCTGGTTCTTGAAGACCGCTTGCTACCCCAGTACTCCTGCTTCTGTGGTTCGGGTGAAGGGGGTCTGGAGTCAATCTTGAGCTCCTCCAGACTGGTGATGGGAGGATTGCTGAAGTTGTAGGGGGAGTCCTTGTTCCGTTGCCGCTCTTTGAAGAGAGTATTTCTGAACCAGTGCTTGATCACTTTCTGGGGCAACCCAGACTTGTCTGCCATCTCTTTGATCTGTTCTTCACTAGGGGAATTGTTAATATCAAAATACTGCCGCAGGACTCGGAGCTGGTCGTCTGTGATCCTGGTTCGAGGTCTCTTATTCTGTTGTTGGAGCAGGCTCGGGGTGAGCTGATGCTGGTACAGCTGGGCCAGGTCTGCAGGCAAAGGCTCCACAGGCCCGAGCTGAGGTGGCAGCTGAGCCGGTAAGGTCTGCAGGGGCATGGTCTGCATCATCAGTGGTGAGAAGATGGGCAGCTCCATGGGCATGGAGAGCTGGGTGAGTGGTACAGAAGGCTGAGCTGGCGCAGTTGTGGGGGATGTAATGGGCGGGGCTGAAGCAGGAACAGCAGGCGTGGAGGCTGGCTGAGGAGGTGCTGCTGGAAGGGGAGGCGGAGGGGGTGGGGGTGGAGGGGGGGGCGGCTCAGGGGTCTGGGGCCTCAGGGGGTAGAGTTTGTCATAGTGCTCTCTGTACTGTTTGGCAAACCTCTCCAGCTGTTTAAAAGGAAAGTAGCTTTGATGAACATGTTCCTGATGACTCTTTAAAATCAAGATGTTGGAAAACAACTTGCCACAGGACTCGCACTCGAGCTTTTCCACCTGGTCACCCTGTTCCGTCTTCCCGTTCTTCTTCTGCGCCTTTTGCTTGTTCTCATTGTACTGAATGACCAGCTCAAAGCCAAAGTTCTCCAGCAGCGCCTTGGTGGCATTCCCTCTGGCATCTGAGGCAATGCGTGGTGGGAGCATGGAAGGCTCCGCACTGCTCCCCAGGGGCAGCTCCTTCTTCTCGGGGGCCTTCAAGGCTTCTGGCAGCAATTCCTTTGGTCCTGGGTTGCCTTCTCCCCCCTCAGCACTGTCTCTCTCTCTCTCTCTCTGGCTTTCCTTCTCCTTTTCTTTGATGACCAATTTGTTTTTCTTCTCGGGGTGTTGGCTGGGCTGAAGAAGGGCAGAGTGACTCTGGGACAGAGAGAGCTGGCTCTGCTGCTGCATGATCTGTTGGTGACTCTGCTGTGGGATCTGAACCTGAGCCTTTAGATCTTCCAGCAGGCCTGGGCTGGTCCCCGTCAGCGTCAGTGCCCCACTGGTCACCGGCAGGCTGACCTCGGGGTTGAGCTGGAACTCAGCACTGGGGATGTAGAAGGGGAAGAGGAGATGTTGCTGTTGTTGCAGCTGCAGTAGGGTCTCGGTGGTCATGGGGAAATGAGGAAGAAGGGTGGGGTTGAAGAGCTGAGACTGGATCAGGGCAGCCTGCTGCTGCAGCTCTTGCTGCAGGTGAGCTTGAACTTGGGCCTGGGCCTGGGCCAACGTCTGTGCTTGTTGCTGTTGTTGCTGTTGTTGGTGCTGCTGCCGGGAGGCAATCATATCTGCCAGTTTCTTCCGGTTGGCCTCCTTGGGCTCTGAAGGGGAAGCCATGTTGACACTGATGGGATTCCCAAGGGGCGGTGGTATCCCCAGACTCTCAGTGGGCACTTGGCTCAGTAGGTTGGAATTTGGAGTGATGCCAGTACTGCTGGGATTGGTGGTGGTAAAGGTGTGACTGCTGGTGGTGTTCACAGGACTTGGGGTGGAAGAGCTCAGGGAGACACTGCTGCTGTTCCCAGTCCCATTGCTACTGCCACTTGCAGCTTCCAGCTTGGCTGCCCGGGCCTTGGTTTGATGCAACACCGACCTCATGTGGATCTCCAAAGTGGAACTCTGGCTATAGGCCACATTACAGGTGTTGCACTTGAAAGGTTTGTTGTCTGGGCTGCTGGTGGGTTCTGGCTGACCAGTTGCCGATTCTTGAAGGGCTCTCTTCAATTTATGCAGATGGGAGACAGAATTGTAGTGCACTAACAGGATGTTCTTTTGAGTGAAAGATTCCTTGCAGACAGTACACTTGTAAGGGCGAGAAGGATCCAGGAATTTTTCCATGGTGAAGTTGGGACCTTTTCTGAAAGGTAGAGCTCTCTTTGGCTCTGAGCCCGAGTCTTCCTGTACTGACCCAGAGTCACTGCCCAGGGGGCTCTGTTTATCTTCCAAGTCACTCTCTTCTTCTTTGTCTTCCTCAACGATTATGGTGTGGTCTTCTGCCAGGGTAGGGTCTCCCATTGCCAGAAGGTCCCCATTGACTAGAAGGCCACCGTAAAGCTGCTGTATGTCAGCTTCACTCAACTCCAGGTGGCTTGTCTCCAGGTGCTTTTTCAGAGCCTGGAAAGTTCGGAAACTACGCTGACAAAGACAGCACATGGTGGCAGCTCTAATCACATGGTACTGAGAATGGAGCTGCAACTTTTCAATGGTCTTAAATGCCAGGCTGCACTGATTACAGCGGTACTTGTACACGTGGCGGTCAGACACAGGCAGCTGAGGCCTCTTGGTGTGAACTTCGTTGAAATGTGTCTGAAGGGCAGCAGAAGTTTTGAAAACTTGGTTGCATCCCTTCTTCCAGCAGAGGAAGCCTGAGTCTTCCTTCACAGAGCTTGGGTCAGCAGGAGACGGTTTCAAATCCCCACTGTGCTCTGTGGTCACTGACGGCAAGATGTTCTTTCCCAGATCCTCTGAGGTTTCTGTAAGAAAACATCAAGCCCAAAGATAAAGGCGGCTTTGTTTCAAGGATGGCACCCAGACTGAGCTGTCTACCTACTAAGGGATCACTAACAGTCGAATGATGTGGGTGGGACAGAATATCTCCACAGATCCCCCAGTGTTATTTATTATGAACAGATGAATAAAGGGGAACACAAAGTTCAACTCACAATAGGCCTATGTCACAGTCTTTTAAACAATACTTAATTGCTGGACTCAGAATCTTCAATGTCTCAAAAACTGGTTTGAAAGGTGCATAATGTTAGACTGGATCACCCTTTTATGTAGTAAGTATTTGGCACAATGGATCTGAACTGTGGAATATGTGACTCCTAACTCATGGGGAATTTGGAAGGCCTGCAGTCCACTGTATGATAAGAAGTGTTTTTTTTTAATAATGTGTCTTGTGACTGCCACCTCTAAACAATGAACATCCAAGTGGCTAATTATTAAATTACATTTTTCTACAGTGAGATCACCACACCATTAACAAAGGAGGAGGCAGGACAGTAGTGGGGCTAAAGTCTTAGGTACAGACAAGAGCTGATAATGAGCCATCTAACCAGGACACCGTGTGGCACCAACAGTAGTGGCATACAAATTACTTTCAGATACTTTAAATATTGTATGTCTCGTCCCGAAACAACTCCAGAAGACTTAGTAGCTCCTAGAAGACAACTAATCCTGTCATCCCACGTTTCATGAGACCCTAATTCAGTAAGTCCTTCTTGTTGTTAAGTGCCGTCGAGTAGATTCCAACCCATAGCGACCCTGTATAGGGCTTCCCAGGAGCAGCTGGTAAGCTTGAACCACTGACCTCGCAGTCTGATACATAAGCCCACACACAGCACCACACCAGGACTTAGAGACGGAGTATTTAACAGTTTAGGATGGTAGTAGCTCTGTGGGCCTTTTAGCGGACTCTCTGATTCTGCCCTCACTCAGTATATAATCTGTGCAGACATGTGGCCCGTACCAAAGTTCTGCAGGTTCTCACACTGATTTTCTCTCTTCTGTCCATGTATGACTAATATCCCAATCTCACATCCAGAGGATAAAGTTATCTGATACTAGCGCCCCTCATCTCATGTTCAGCTACATTCAGTTTAGGAGGACTGTGAAGAATTCTGGGTACCTTGTCTGTGAAAATTGTGGCTCAGGATTTCAATGTGATTTCTATTCTCAGGGGTCACAAATCATGATACTGACCAGGCTGCTTTCCTCCTTCCTCCAGATTGGAATTCCCTTCTCGATCCGGAACAGCTGCTGGGAGGAACATGCTGCTGGGCATTACCATCTCAGGGGTGGTCACCTAAGGCGTGAGAAGCAGAGAAACGAGGAGAGTCAAATGGAGAGGAAAAGACACAAAGTAGGAAATGTTTTTAAATTATTTAATAAGCAAAATTAGCCTTCACCAGTGTAGCGCCGCGGTGTCACTTTTCATAGCTCACTGAAGATTCATGTTTAATGTTTATTAGACAAAGCTAGCATCAGTCAAAAGTGTTTCTACGGTTACCTTCTGGACATAATTAGCAGTGCACACTTGAAGAATAATCTTATTATTAATATTTTTCCTTTATGCAGAATTTTGACTTTGATCACTGACAATGTTTTGTCATGGGCTGTGAAACTTCTTGTGCAACCAATTAGGTAGATAAGTTGAAAGGCCCACCTTAAGCTGCTGAAAACATAATAAGGGCCCTAATTAAATCATACCTAGTAAAGTACACTGTAATCTTGAAGCAGGGAGCATTGTAGTACTGTTTTCAAAATGTATTTGGGCAAGAAGAGGAGGGGACTAAGAAAGAAGGAAAAGGGTAAGACTAAGAAGAGAACAAAGGGAATGCTAGGGACACACAGACACAATGGCAGATTTTCTAGGAAACAACATTTTGTAATCCTTTACAAGCAGAGATCAAGAGCAAACGAGCATTCCCCTTGACTCACTGAAGCTAGGATTTCTTGTGGAGTCCTCACATGAGGTACACGCCATCCAACGGCACCTCTGTCTCCTGGCCACAGTCAGTCCTAATACAGCAGCTTTAGAATTAGGCTGCATCAAAAGAGCTACAATTTAAGTCCGATTCATCATTTCACCAGTCCTCTTGCCATCTGGTCCGAAATTAACCCAAACAAGTTACTATATTGCTCTATGATACAAAGTCCTAAATGTCCAATGAAAGGTTAAAAAGTTCTTAGGCATCTTCTCAAACTACTATGGGGTGGTGGAAGGTAAAGGGAGGTAGTCTTCCCAAGTAAATGAGTAATCATCCCCATTTGAGGACAGCCTGAAATACAAGAGTACGGTTAGGATAATAACTTCACTTGCTTTGGCTAACATGGGAGCGACCAAGTTTCTGTTCAATATTAGATCACATCTTAAATGACTATTTGAATGGTTTGGAGATCCTGGCTTTGCTCAGACTGCCTGCTGATGACTTCATCACTAGAATCCTCAACAATTGGCTCAACTTCCTGGAGAAACCCTAGTCAGCTGTTCCCGTTGGTACCAAAAGGGTAGCTAGCTTCCCTACCACAGTTAGAGGTGGTCGAATCATTTACATAATAAGCTTTTCAGAGTAGGCTCCTGAGAAATACAGTGTTTCCACAGTGCAGGTGCATGTGTGTGACAGAACACCCCTGTTCTTCCCAACAGCTGCCTGCACATACAGCTCGGCAGCAGCTAAGGAGAGCTGTTGATGGATCATTAGACTGCCACACTCATTCCATCTAGTTTCTTTTTAGCAGAAAGCATTTCTGACCAGTGTGGTTGGAGGGTCCAGCGGGAATCCAAGAAGTGAAAGGTCACAGATTAATTTATAGTCCTCACCCAGGAGGTGGGGTTGAGGGGTGGGGGAGCACTGGCAACAAGAGGGAGAAAAGGGAAAGGAAAAAAGATTCCCCCCACCTCCTTCCTCAGTTGTAGCTGCAGAATCAATTCTTTCCTGGGATCTTTAGGAATCATGAGAAATTAAAAAGCCCTACAGAGTAAAAAAGAATAAAATTATCTAACACCTCAGCTGCACATCATTATAGAAAACTGTGGGCTTTTTATACACATTACAGTAAGGCAGACATCCTCTCTAACAGACTCAGTACGACGGATCAGTAATTGTTTTCATACACTTTAATTAGAAAAACTCAGATGGCTATGAATAATAATGGAAAAGAGAGACTTTTGCACTTGAAAGGTTGAAGTCAATCAAGTGTGAATGACGGCAAAAAAGAAGTAGAAGGAAGAAAAAAAAAAAAAAAAAGACACCAATTCATCAGCCCTCTGTTGTCTCCCCACGACTTTAATCATAATTCCTGATTGGGATTCAAGAAGGCAGTAAGCAGCGGTTCTTTGTCTGCCTTCACCTTCCATCAATTAACTCTCCCGAAATATAATCATCAACCTCACATGCTCCTCTGCATCTTAATCTGGGTTTCCAAACCTGTAAGTCTTGCCCCATATGTGTTTAAGTAATTACTCTTATCTACCTGCATCTTCTTAGCTACAGTATACCCTACACCTCCCCCTGAGCTAGGGAAAAAGGATTTGATATGTGAAATTTATCAGGTAAGAAATCCCCAGGAGGCAAGAGGAAGATCCCCAAGGGAAGCCTAAGAATCCGTGCATGTGTCTTAACAGACTAACAATGGAAGCTGCATGGGCTACTAGGGTGTCTGACAAACGTCAGGCTGAGATGCCACTGTTCTCCCTGCCTGGCTTCATTCCTCCTTCGCCCACCAGTTTTCAAAGCTTGCATGCTCTTTCCTAAAGAGCCATAAATATAATTCTGCCAAGAGAGCTCCCTGAAGAAAAGGAAAGGTAGCCAAATGTAAAAGAGCTTCTTCAACATAGGCTCTGGCATCCCTATTATTCTTCACTTGTATCTGTCCATGAAACTACTAGGAAGATTCAGATTGTGCCCCCCACCGTTTCCTATGGACATGGGAAACAGTCACTCAGCTGTACTGGGCCCACTTCTTCAGTGGCCTTCTCTGTCACTAGGAACAATGGAATCTGTATGTGCATGAGAAGTCAAAAACATCCTAACCAGATCCATCCCAATAGTACCTAAAGTTCAAGAGTCCTTCATTACCCCAGCACACACATTCTCTGTCTATAGACACCTACACTTCCATTTTAAAACACCAAAGTCCAAAACAGTTTTTGAGGTTTGGCCAGATGGTAGTATACAGTTTGCCTGAACACCTACACTTGTAAATACAATGACTATCCCATCCACTAGAATCCATTAGATTAATTCCTCTTATAATCTGTCTACCTGTAAGCACTTAATATTATCAAGTTCCCTCAGTACAGAAGTAGAAGGTGGAAGATATAGTTTAACATATTCTAACAGGTTCTTAACAAAAAGTAAAAGTTTTTCTGTTTAGGTACACTCAGTCTTTTAGAGCAATTGTTTCCTCAGCATTTTGCATCTATCAAGATTGGTCTTGGCTAGTGAAAGAGCAAATTCCATGGTGATTTTCTAGAATGCTTAGGTGGGCCTAGGTTACATCAGTTCAACCATCCTTAGCGTTACTCAACTAAGTAGGGTTCCTTTCTGAAAGTTCCATGTTTCTAACTTGTCAATTCCCAGACTCTCAATATTCCACTGCTGTTCCTAAGGCTTTCAGTGGCTAACCTTTATGAAGTTATCCCCCTCTCCTTCATCTGGTCTGTTCCTAGTCTTTAAGCTCTGCTGAAAACCGTACTGGTCACACAAGCTACCACAACATAGCAAACTCTGAAAAATGCATGTAAAAGCTGGACACTACACAAGAATCAATGCATATGAAGTATGATTTTGGAGAAGAATATTAAAAGTACCATGGACTTCCAGAAGAACAAATGGATCTGTACTGGAAGACGTGCATCCAGAGTGCTCCTTAAAAGTGAGGATGTTGACACTTCGTCTTTTGTACTCTGGACATTATCAGAAGGGACTAGTACTTGGAGAAGTACAACATGTTTGGTAAAGTGAAGGGTCAGCAAAAAAGAGGAAGGCCTCTAATAAGATGGACTGGCACAAGGGTTCAAACCTAACAATTGTAAAGATGGTGCAGCACTGGGCAGTATTTTGTTCTGTTGTGCCTAGGGTTGCTGTGAGTAAGAACTGACTTTACAAAATTCTCTCAAGGAAAGGAAACCTCAACAGAATAGAAAGAAGGGAAGGCCTCAGAAATTCAACTCTGGCATCGATCTGGCTTCCCAGTCTCTCCCCTTCTGTGAATAAGCTTCTGTTGCAATCTCAAAAATGTAGGTGTGAACTTAAAAACTGCTTCCAGGACTGAGCATGCTCCCTAGTGGTCTATTGAAATCTGACAGCTCAGTGAATCCAACCGCTCACTTCCTCTCTGTTCCTTGACAGTTTGGGGGCGTTGCACTCTGCACATCTGCAGCCAACTAACTACCCCTGTCTGCTCCTGATGCTGAGGGGGTGGGGGCTTCCCCTTCTGGCAAATGTGCTAGGCTGCATACAGGACCTTTGAATCTAGAGGGCTTAGTGCTGTCCCTCTTGTCTCCTTTTTAAAACCTAAAACCCACAAGTAAAAAAATATAGGGCCATATTAACATTCATTTGGGCCAGAAACAAATGTAGCTCCAAACCAGATTTTTTAAATCTGGGAATGAGGAAGACTGGAAAAAGAGGTGGGTGAGAGAATAGGAAACACATGAGTAGTTAATACACACACATGCAGAAAAGAGAACCGAGAGGGAGAATGCATTGGAGAGAAAAGCTTCATTAGACTCAGAGAGGCAAGCAGTGGCAGTATACCAAGGTCACTTCTAATTTAGACCATCTAATTGGCAAACAGGGCTCCAAATGGCTATCATCTCACAGGGCTTGAAATTAATGAAGCCCGATTATTTTCATTACCTTCCTCTGAGGAGGAGACAAAGTGAGACAGCTAATGCCAGGCGGCTGTGACAGCCCAGGGCCAGTGGCCACCAGAGAGCCCCAGGTTGGGGGAGTTGTGCTGGACAGTCAACCTGTCCCAGAGCCATGTAAACACAAAGGCAGAAAAAAGGTGACAAATCACAGAAGACAAACTATTACTCCCCAAAGAGGAGGAACTGGAGGCAGTGCAGGACCAGAGCAGGAAAGGATGGGGCAAAATAGAGGATATTAAGAAGTACCCAAGGGAGGAAAGAAAAGGCAATCTCAGGCTTTTCCCAACCAATCCTCATCTCCACTTGGAAGTCAGATTTTGTTAGGTAATTGAGAAAATTTCCCCATATGCATAACTCCAGGATCCTAGTGCTATGCCCTGTCACTTAGAATAATTTAAGAGTATTGAAATGTCATGGCAGGTGGCCTTTTTCTACTTTCAGGGCCACAAACATGTTCCCTACTACTCCCTCCCCAAAAGACTGCGAAAACAAGGCAACAGAGAAACAATTTCCACATCACCACCAATTTGAAAGCTTCAGATTTAGTGACATGGAATTGGGTAGAGGTGGGAGGTGGCTCTTCTCCTTTCCTCTAGGCTTTATAGATGTCTTCCTTTCAGATAAGGTATGGAAAGACACTATTTGGAGCTCTTTTTCCAGTAGGACAGGTAGAGTAAAGTGCTGGGGTGCCACTTCCATGGTGCCATTGTTCTCAGTAGCCCCTCATCCGTAAAAGGAAGGGGGCCCATGGAAGAAATAGATATGATATGCAGAGCATAAGCAAGCAGTTGTTACCATGGCAACAGACATATTAGACACTGCAGGTTCCTGAAAGCTGTCTGATAAGGTATTATTAAATGAAGCCTTCTCCAAACGCTCTCCATTTACAACGGAAGGGAGAGACATTGTATAGAACGTAATCCATTTCCATTTATTATAGTAGAATTTACTCTTAGAAGGACTAAACCCAATTCAGCTAGATCCCGAGACCTTGGACTCAGACTGCAAATACTCTTTCTCAGAATGTGTATTGCTTTACATACTCTGGTCACACTCAGCTCTGCCAGGAATTTGCTATTTTGGAAGATTTTCCTGCTTTTCTTATTCTATAGCCAAAGGCTCTATTGGACTAGGATGTTGACATCAGGGACAAAGCAGACAGAACTTTCTCCTCCTTGGACGATGAATGACTATAGAGTGGCCACTTTTTAACGATTCGATTTAGAAAATGGAGCTCTGATTTGAAGGGCATTTCTCAACTGGCCACTTCCAGAGTTACCGGCTCCAGCCTGCCAGGAACAAATAGACACATATTCAGAAAGCCTAACCAGTACTTTCCCAGGGCCAATTTTCTACAGTAAAGTACCCTCCAGGGGCATGAGTTTTAACCACAGGTTCATTCTAATCACTTAATTGTTAAATAATTGCAAATTCCATCTAACACCAAAGTTCTTTGTGGAAGGAACACCAAATCATCAGCTGCAGAGATCAGGATTCCAGTCCGCAATAGAATTCCGCCTACCCTGTGGGATGGCTACCGATGCCCATGAACCAGGGCTGCTCATCTTTAACTAATGAATCAAAGGATCTCAGTGGAAATGCAGTCAACTTCAATACCAACAGCCCAGCAATGATTCCGTCTTCCTATACAAAGAGAGTGCCGAATCCACTTGTATGCAGAGTGAAACCCTTCTATAAAATTGCACTTTGTTTCCCACAAATTTTCAACTTATTCCCAAAGCCGTTAATATTCTCTTGTTGCTAGCAAATTGACTTCTTATCACCAACCCACTGTTAGGAGAAAGTTTCTCCTACATCATTATGCTGAGAAAGTCCCATGGATCTTCAGGGTACTCTTCTATCCCTTGGCATTAAGTGCACACTTGGATATGCAGAATACATGATGGAAGTCTGTAAGAGCGGGTGTCAAACTTCAGCGTGAACAGAATCACTCAGCCTGGCGACTGTTAGGCAGCATCTTTCATCATTCGCCACAACGTCTAAGACGCACTGCTTATGCAAGCACTGGTCAGTGGGTAACTCCCAGACAAACACAACACAGCATTGTGTCCTTGGAGACGTTTCTGGCAGATTAAGATTCATAATGATCACCAGACTCTGTACTTCAAATGTGCTTTACTACTGCACATTTTACTACTATAAAATATATGACAAACAATAGATACTTTAAAAATAATTTACATTCTGGTCCCTAGGTATGTATAAATGGAAGTGTTTTACTGTGTATTATAAACCAGTCATGTAAATTACTATTGGTCCAGAGTTCCCAGACTAGATTTACACTAAAAGGAAAAAACAATCACCTGAGCCAAAGACAAATGTACTTAGGTATTGATACTACACTCCTGTCTGCTATGCCAGACTACTGTGGTTCCAGTGTACCTGTGGTTCCAGTGTACCAGATGATAGAAAGCATGGAGATGCCTGGGAAAATCTCCCTTGTTATTGCCAAGGATGCTGAGGAAACCTAATTCAAAGAAACACACTCATGCATTTACAGAATCTTTCAACAATGTTCACAAGTGTATTTAAAAATATCCATGGAAATTCCACTTGTAACCTGAAAGATTTCTGAGTTGAAACTCATGGTTGATCACCTGTGAGTTTCCCACTGGTTACTAAAGTTCTCTTGATGCCTCATCAATTATATGCTACTCATGACTACACATCACTTAAACCCTATTCATTAACTGTTCATACCCCAGTGGAATGGGAGATGCCTAAATGTTGCATGGTGACCCTGTAAGGTAAGCACTACACTGCAAACCACAAGGTTGGTGGTTCAAACTCCTTGGGAGAAAAGATGAGGCTTTCTGTTCTCAAAAAGATTTATAGCTTCATGAACCAACTCAGCAGCACTTAATAACAGAAGTTATTATATGCCTGTGACCTGTGCTTTATACTGTGGATAATGTGGAATAATGAACAAATGACTTCTCTGGGAATCAGGCAATCCAATTATTTTCTGAAATAATACCAAGTTAAAGAAAAGAGTAATTCTCCTCAGTGGTTTTTCCTTTTACAAAAAGGAGAAGGTTCTTACAAGTAGCCCCAGCACAAGTGAAAAGTGGGGTATTAGTATCACCTGTGCAAGTTTGAAAAGTTTTCATTTTAAGATTAGATTTAAATCTAACCTTGTGGACCATGTTTATAGTGGTCATTAGGTCTGGACTCTCAAAATCCATCGTGTAACAGTAGCACGTTAAAAATGCAAAGTCCACAGCCATGAATCAACGTATTATATTCAATTGACCATTTTCCTGCTTTGCAAACCAAAGTATCCTGAGAAACCCCGACTTTATAAGACTACACTCCTGAAGCTGGAAAACATGACATGGAATCTCCACTCTGCCACTTAACATCAACATCAGGTAAACTACTCTGAGCCTGTTTTCTTGTCTGTTAATGTGAACATTTCAAACTTTCAGTTTGGTTTGTAAACACATTTGCTACGAGAATGAAATGAGTTCTCTGGATAGTGAACAGAAGAACAACCTAGAACTTGACCGGTTGATTAAGTTCTAGTGAATTTGAGTAACTGTATCTTTGGAAACCCTATACAGGGGTCGCTAAGGTTGGAACCAACTTGACGGCACTTAACAACAACAACAATCCTTATCATATAAAATGGTCTGTACTGCTCTGCCTGTGGGAGAGTTGAGCACAACACACACATATTCAGCATCCAGGACAACAAGGTCACAGAATTTTCTGATCCTTCCCAACTCTGCTATTGCTTCAACCTCTGGGGTAAGAAAAGCCACAGGACCCTGCACCTGCTGCCTTACCGTCATAATGAGCTTCTCTACGCAGTCAGGTGCCACGCTGTGGAGGTGGGTGAGGTGCAGCTGGAGGTGGATCTTGTTGTTGAGCATGTCCTGGCACAGAGGGCAGCGGAGCATGGGCTGCACCGAGTGCTGCGTCATGGCATGCACCCGGAGCCGGTTGACGTCGGCGTTGCTGTACTTGCAGTAGGGACACTGGTACATCTGTGGGGAACACAGCCACCCCTCTGGCTGAATCTTCATTGCTCACCAGCAACATCATCTGCCCCAAGCCCAGCCTCCCAAGAGTTCATTTCCAGCTAGTGCCTAATACCCTCTCCCAATTAGCAGAGCCTCTGCCAGGCTTACCTGCTCTGGTTTAGTCTCCTCGGATGTTTTTGGTCGTTTGGAAGAGAGGGAAGACTCGGAGCTACCTGGGAAGGAGATGCGTTTGGAAGCTACAGGAGATTCTGTCAGCTCCTTCTCTGGTTGGCTGGACGAAGCTGGAAGAGAAAGAAGATGCAGTAGAGCAGTCCAACTCCCAGAGTGTTTGTGTTAGGTGAAAATCGACTTTCATTTATAGCCTGAATTTTTTGGAAACACCAAGATCCAAAAAGGATGAGCATCCAGACTGCCTCATCAAGCATGTTAGAAAAGAAGCAAGTGGTTTTTCCTCTCCTCAATTCCAGCTACTATTTTAACAACTGAACATTAGGAAAAGAAGATAAAGCAATGGAACCAAAGGATCCACATTGGATTTTTATGGTTTTAAGGTAAGTATAGTCTCTTCCCCAATCAAAACACAATCTGCGGGCTGTAGGGGGCAGTAGGGTGAGGACAGGTAGGAAGCTCTCCAATTACTTTGCCACTTAGACAACCAAGCATCAGAAACCTTCTGCTTTCATAGATAAAATAACCTGCATGCTTACAAGTTTTGTGTCCTAGCTCTGGGAATCACACACATCTGATACAGGTTTACATAGATATCTGCTTATGAATATGTGGGAAAGTGAAGACTTGGGTGGAGCAATTCGCTGTAGGAGGAAAAAGCAAATGTGGACTGGAACTGGGCAGGGCATTAGTCCAAGTTACAATCTAGTCAGTGCTTCAGAGTCAGTGGTAGTAGGGAAAGTTTCCTATCTGCTAGCCCAAACTATACCCTCCACACTCCTTCCCTGCCTCCAGACCAAAATACTAATTAAAGAGGACAGTCACATGGGACTAAAGTAGCAAACAGTGGGTATGGAAGTAATGGTTGAAATCGTTCTTTGAAGCACAGAGAGGAATCTGGACGATTGTGATTTGAAAAAAGCAGGACATTTCCCGTCCAGGATGGCTGGATTTGGTCATTCCAAAACCCAGGTGAGTATGGATGATGCACTCACTCATTTTTGATGTGGGGCTCTGGTTTTTGCAATTTTAGCTAAAAGCAATAGGCAAGAATCCACTGAAAACGGCAGTAAGAAAATACATTTTACAGGGTCATCAAATTGGTTCCAACTCATAGCAATTTCAAAGATCAGCTCGAGAAGATAAAACCAAATACTATAGTAAAATATGCAATGATTTAGAGTTGGATAACCAAAGGGAAGGACACAGTCAGCAATTCTCAAGCTGAGGGAACTAAAAAAATTCAAGCCTCGACTTTCGTTATTGAAAGATTCTCTGGGCATATTACTGAATGATGCAGAGGGCATCAAGAAAAGATGGAAGGAATACACAGAGTCATTGTACCAAAAGGAAATTATTAGTGTTCAACCATTTCAAAAGGTACCATGTGATCAAGAGCCAATGATACTCAGAAAGTCCAAAGTGCTTTGAAGGAATTGGCAAAGAACAAGGCACCAGGAATTGATGGAATAAAAATTGAAATCTTTCAAGAAAGTGAGGCGGCACAGGAGGCACTCACTCATCTCTGCCAAGAAATTTGGAAGACAACTATCTGGCCGACTGGAAGAGATCCATATTTGTGCCCATTCCAAAGAGAGGTGACCCAACGGAATGCGGAAATCATCGGACAATCTCTTTGATATCTCAAGCGAGTAAAATTTTGCTCAAGGTAATACAGAAATGGCTACAATCATACATTGACAGAGAACTTCCAGAGGTTCAAGCTGGATTTAGAAGAGACTTGGAACGAGAGATATATCATTGCAGATGTCCGATGGATCTTGGCTGAAAACAGACAATATCAGAAGGATGTTTACCTATGCTTTATTGACTACGCGAAGGCTTTCGATTGTGTGGATCATGACAAGCTATGGACAACATTGAGAAGTATGAGTATGCCAGAACACTTAATTGTACTTCTGATAAATCTGTACCTGGACCAAGCGGCAGTTGTTCGAACAGAGCATGGGAATACTGAATGTTTTAAAATTGGGAAAGGTGTGTGCCAAGGTTGTGTTCTTTCACCATACTTATTCAACCTGTATGCTGAGCAAATAATCCAAGAAGCTGGGTTCTATGAAGAAAAACGTGGCGTCAGGATTGGAGGAAGACTTACTAACAACCTGCAATATGCAGATGATACAACCTTGCATGCTGAAAGTGAAGAGGACTTAAAATATTTACTGATGAAGATCAAAGAGCACAGCCTTCCGTATGGATTACAACTCAATGTAAAGAAAACAAAAATCCTCACCACTGGACCAATAAATATCATTCTTATCAATGGAGAAGAGATTGAAGTTGTCAAGGACTTCATTCTTCTTGGATCAACTATCAACACTCGTGGAAGCAGCAGTCAAGAAATCAAACGACGTATTGCATTAGGCAAATCTGCTGTACAAGACCGTTTTTAAAGTGTTGATTGAAGATCAAAGATGTCAGCTTGAGGACTAAGGTGCGCCTGACCCAGGCCATGGTGCTTTCAATAGCCTCATATGGATGTGAAAGCTGGACAGTGACTAAGGAAAATCATAGAAGAATTGATGCCTTTGAGTTGTGGTGTTGGAGAATACTGAAAGTGTCATGGACTGCCAAAAGAACTGATAGATCTGTTTTGGAAGAAGTGCAACCAGACTGCTCCTTGGAGGCCAAGATGGCTAGGCTTTGTCTCTCATACTTTGGACACATTGTCCAGAGAGAACATTCGCAGGAGAAGGATTTCATGATGGGTAAGGTGGAGGGTCAGAGAAAAAGAGGAAGATCCCCAACGAGATGGATCAGCCAGGTGGCATCATTGATGGTGTCAAGTGTGGCGGCAGTAGTGAGATTGGCCCAGGATCAGATATTGTTTCGTTCTGCTGTGTGCATGGGGTCGCTATGAATCCGTTCCAACTCGATGGCACCTGACAACAACATAGCAACCGTATGCAACTATGTGTAGTGTATAGGGTTTCCGAGGAATGGTTGGTGGGTTTGGGCCTTGTAGTTAGCAGTCCTATGCTTGTCCTACTGCACCACACCAGCACTTACTTCAGTCAGAAAATTGTTAACAGCCGTTAAGTCAGTTCCAACTTATAGCAAACCTGTACAGGGTTTCTGAGGAACACCTTGTAGGTCTGAACCACCGAACTTGCAATCTAGTGCTTATCCTATAGCACCATATCGGGAATCCAATAAGAAAATAGATATCCACAAAATAATTTGACTCAGCAACCTCATTTTCACTCCCGTGTGAAACTGCTTTCTGTCTCACCGTGTCTAGTTTGTGTGTATTTTTACTTTATGCTTAGCTTTGACATTTGTTGTGACATGGACTACAAGATGCTGTCATTATAAATGTGTACTTTAATATAATAAACAATTTTATAAAATCAATTTCATTTATTAAAATCACAAAGCCACAAAAGAAATTTGAAAAAAAAATTAAATGCAGGAAATATTCCAGGAAGTTGGTGTTCTTCCCAGAATGCACATCTTGTGTGACCTTTAACCCAGTATCTTGGTAACCTGGTTGGTAGGGCATCTATTATTTAAAAAGTACAAGGACAAGCATATTACGTACAGGCCCCTCCTCCTCCCCACACATTCATAACAGTACTTTAATCTGTCTCGAATCGACTTCAGACCCATTTTGCTCTTAATGGGAGTTATTCATTTTCACTTGAAAGGTAATATATGACAGCTGGATATTTAATGTGATGGACTGGCTGCCGATTAACTAGGTGCCGTAACATTCGAGACTGGTTCCCCCATGGCCCACTTTCTATCTCTCCTGCCCCCTGCAGACCCTCACATGGACCCTTGCCTGAACAGTCCTACAACAGGATCCTTGAATTAACATTCCAGGGACTTCACTTAGTCTTGCCTAACCCCCCCCCCCCCCCAAACACACACACACAGGTTCCCTCTTCTCCATCATTTTCACTTTTGCTTAGTGGCTACTTTCTATGTATGAGCTATTCAAATGCATTCTAATAATGGGGAAGGAGGAGAGGTACCAGGTGAAGTTCAGAAGCATACTTGTCACAGCCATCCTATTTCCATCGCAACCGGTGGGCATTTGTTTAGGCTGAGGGCTTATAGTTTGGAACAAGCTACTGTCTCTGCCCCTCTTTCCTCTCTAGGCAAACCAAGAGACAGATTCTGTTTCAAATATCCATCCCTGTCTTCCTCAGTTGGATTTGAAACAGACCTGGTTTTATAGGCTGAGTCCACGTTGTAAACAGCTAACAATTAGCCTGCCACCCCTTCTTTGGAATGTCTGTGCTGTGACTATATAGGCACTGAGGTGGAGACCATCCAACTCATCTCGCTAGTAGCTTTTGTTGTGGTTAGGTGCCATCAAGTTGGTACCAACTCATAGTAACCCTATGCTTAACAGAATGAAACACTGCACGATCCTGGGCCAACCTCACTATTGTTACCACGCTTGAGCCCATTGCTGCTGCCACTCTGCCAATCCATCTCTCTGGGGGTCTTCCTCTTTTTCTCTGACCCTCCACCTTACCAAAGATGATATCCTTCTCCAGCGACTGGTCCCTCCGACAGTATGTCCGAAGTATGAAAGACGAAGTTTGGCCATCCTGGCCTCCAAGGAGCACTGTGGCTGCACTTCTTCCAAAATGGATCAACTGGCTCTTTTGGCAGCCCATGGCACTTTCAATATTCTTCAACTACTAGCAAACACAGGAGCTCTGGTAGCGTAGTGGTTACGAATCGAGCTGCGAACCTCACGGTTAGCAGTTCGAAACTACCAGCTGTTGTGCGGGAGAAAGATGAGGCTTTCTACTCCGTAAAGATTTACAGTCTTGGAAACCCTGTACAGGGTCGCTTTGAGTGGGAACTGACTCCACGGCACATAACAATACCACCTAGCAAACACAGTAGCCAAGTGCAGCATCTGTTCCCATGTAGGACCAAAGATCCCATTCTCTTCCCTCAATACCAAGCAAGCTTATTATAATGAATTGTGTGACAAGGTGGCAGAGGTGAGAATTCTGAAGCCACTATTCTCCTCCCCTCCCCAGCATGGAGAAAGGACCTTCTATGATTTTGTTGTTGTTCAGACACAGCAGCCCTTATATCTTATGAAATACTCCTATAACCACGGGTG